ACACCGATTTGCTCGATTCCAGTCCATTCCATTCACAGATCTGGGCTTCTAGGACACGATTCACACGTAAAGTTTCCAACTTTACGTGTAGATATTCACCAATATGGATTTTAGGGCTCAAAGTGCACCAAAAGGGGTAGATCTAGGGCTTTCATGCAATATGACCCCATAAAGGCATTAGATCCAAGCTCCAGGGACTAAATCATGCCTAGATCTAAAGGCTAACAACTTATTACAACCCACAATGAACAAACAAGCTTGGGGAATGGCTCAAGAAGGACTTCCATGAAGCTAAAAGTGACTACAAGCTTGAAAACAGAGGGGAAACGAGCTATACCTCAAGGAAAACGTTGAGATGACACAAAGATATCTGGCCTCCTTCTCCTCTTCTTGATCTACTCTTCTTTCTCCATAAAATCTTCAAGAACACACCAAAACACTTCAATCTCTCAAGGAAATAAGGGTATAAATGATGTTGGGAGCTCTGAGGGTGAATGGGGGATGGCAAGGGGCGGATATGAGGTTTAAATAGTGTGCAAACCCCAGATACTTAGGGTTTCATCCAACAGCGGTGACTCGCCGAGTCGCCAACTTAAACGTGTCCTGGGTCTCGTCCCTACTCGGCGAGTCGGACCTATGACTCGCCGAGTCCAAGTCTAAAATGGTAAATACTCAAATAAGATTTACATACCACGAATCAGGTGCTACATTAACAAAAGTCAATGCTAATAAAAAAAACACTCTAACCACAACATGGAGCTCCTTGTGTCACATCGTGGGCTTGTTGGGAAAAAAATAGCCGACTCACATATCCTTGCCATTCCATGTCTATCCCTTGGCCACACCAGGACAAAATCATTGCTACTCAGAAAAATGACACATCATGGCAATGCCTTTGCCACATCATGAGAACCATCAGAAGTCCAAAAACTTCATTAAGTGCTTAATCCTTACAAATATAAACCCAAATCTCAGATGTACTTCTTTCAATGACTTAATGGATAAAGTTTCTAACTTTATCCATTAGGACTCCATGCCAAGGCTATATCTACAATTTTATGTCCGTTAAGTCCTTAATTAAGCCATAAATTTAACATGAAGACAAAATACACCAAACATGATCCTTTTTCTCAACAAAAGAAGTCTGAAGACCTAAGAAATCCACTACAAGTGTTGGAGTTCCTTAAGCTACAAAAACACCCAAGGAAAGGACTAAAACCACCCTAATATGACCTACAACTTGAATCTAAAAGAAGAGATGTCAATGTATGAACTTTATACCTCCAATAGTTTAGAAAAATGAAAAGAATATTGGATCTAAACTTGATCCTTGCTTCCTTGTAGATTTCCTTTTTCGCAAAATCCACCAAAAATCCAAGAACAAAGCTCCAAAAGTAATGAAATGGACTCTCAATCATACATGGAGGCTAGGGTTTCATTTGTAAGGGTTGGAGGCTGAAGAGAATGCCTTAAACCTAAAGTTTAGGGACTTAAATATGGCAGAAACCCTAAAAGGTCATGGGCTTAGGCTGTAGCTGCTGCCACGTTGTGGCATTCTTCTTGCCACGATGTGGCGGCCATCCAAAACACGCATTTTGTATCTTCTATGCCATGTCGTGGCAGTCCATCCTCCTTTTCATGGCACCTAGCTTTCCCAAAAAACTTCCCTTTGATTTTTTCCAAGTTCTCAATTGACCTATATAGGAAACAAGTATTAAAACCAATCCTCATGTATACGACCCCTTTACCATTTTACGTTATCTTTGTGTGCACGAATTAAGGGTTTATACTTGTTTCCTTGATAACCGCTAACTTCTTTCTTAGAAGAAACCTTGGACATCTAAATACATATAAAAGAATGACCAAAACCATATCATGTCGGTACTTTAACCTACAGTGATCTCCACAATGTACTACATGCTCCATAATGGAGTCCAAGCATGCCTTACGACGAACTATACATATATCACCAACCCAAAATAATGGGATCATGAGACGATATGACATGAGTGACATATTTCAACGCATGAAATCCGCCATGACATGCCAACCTATGCGTAAACACCACCCCCAAGGGACATATGTGTCTTGTGAACTAGGCACGATCATATGACCAATCAATGAATTTCTTTCCAAGCAGTTAAAAATACTTTCGTTGCATTTGTTTCTCAAATTAAGATATTATTTAGATGTATTAAATGGTGTAAAAAATTACAGATTGAAGCTTTGAGTTTAGTAATGGCTGCAACCCGTTTTTTTAGAAAACAGGTCGAGAAGGAAACCATTTTAAAAAAAAATGGGTATTAGGGGAGTTAAGAGCATGTTAGTAAACATAAAATTGTTTTTAATTGAAGTTAAAATTAGGTCTCTAAAAAATATGTCTTTATATCTTATTTTACCCTTCTACTTATGTTTTAAATTAAACTAAACCCTCAATATATATATATATATATATATATATATATATATATATATATATATATATATATATATATAACAGCCCGGAATTTTCAGGTATTTATTTTGGATTTATTTATGGAAATTGTGAGTGGACTCGGCGAGTTGGAGCTCAAACTCGCCGAGTAGGATCGCGGATTTGGGCACGGGTTCACGTCCAGACTCGACGAGTCCAAGGGTGGACTCGGCGAGTCCACGCTGTGTGGTGAAACCCTAATTTCCGGGGATTGAGACTTATTTAAAGGGCCTTATGGCCGTCATTTGTGCTCACCCAACCCTTAGAGAGAAACCCTTGAGTGCTTGAACGTTTTGAGAGAAAAAGGAAGCATTCTTGACCTTATGTGTGTCATTTAGAAAAGAAGGAGAAGATTCTAGGCAAGAGGAAGCAAAGGAGGTTCCTATTCTGTGGATTTGAAGCTTAGATCATCGATCTAGAGGTATGATTTCGGTTTATCTTCTGTTTTTTGAAGTATAATGGGATTTAGGGTTTCTTATGGACATTTATGGGATGATTTGATGCCAAATAGTTCCCTTCTTGTGTTGAGGCTCTGGATCTGGATCCATAGAGGTCCAGAGAACCTCACTCATCAAGCTTTATGTATGGCAATGGAGTTTATGACCTTGAGTTGTAGTATTTGAGACAAAAACATCATATATGGTCATATAGAGATTGTATGTGCATCAAGGTAGTGACTTTACATGCTAAATAAGCTTGGAAGGACTGGATCTATGGGTTAATGGACTGGATCTGACCTTATGAGCAAGTTTGAGTCATTGCATGGCACGGACTCGTTAAGTCCGAAGAACAGACTCGACGAGTAGTATGAATAATGCCCGACCACACAGCGAGTGGTCTTGCCGAGTTGGGGAGGGTTGACTCAGTGAGTCAGGGGGAAGTCAGAGTGGACAGGTGGACTGAGTCAAGCTGGACTCGCCGAGTTGTTCTTGAGACTCGGCGAGTTGAGTCATGGTGGCCCCACAACTCATGCCAGGTGGAACTCGTCAAGTTAAAGAGAATACTCGACGTGTCAACGGAGGATTTCAGGGAAATCAGTGTATACGCTCAGACTCGCTGAGTCGCTATAGTGCACTCGTCGAGTCGGGTCAAAGTTGACCGTTAACCGTTGATCTAAGTTGACTTATTAAAGAGTAGTCAACCTTAGTTGGGAAAGTGTTAATTAGAGATGTATTGTGATTTAGGAGGACTTTAGCTCGGGAGATCGAGCACTAGTGATTTCAGGATTCACAACTTACCGAGACACGCGAGGTAAGTCTTCTCACTATACTTTACCTTGAGTAGGTAACCAGAGTTATGTGATAGAGTATTTGTATGCTATGTATGTTATATGTTGTACTGCATTATTTCTATGTGATTTATGCTGTGTGTGTTTACAGAGTTAGAACCTGAGGGTTTACAGAGTTTGGGTGCACGGACCCACAAAGTTATAGCCTCGAGTGGCTAATATGTGTTATATGTGGTATTTTGGGGAACTCACTAAGCTTTGTGCTTACAGTGTTTGATGTTATTGTTTCAGGTACTAGTGACGATCGCGGGAAGGCGCCGACTTGATCCGTACACACGCACGAAGTTTATACATTTGTGATCTTGGGATTTTGTATTTACTTGAATTGGATAATTAAATATAGTTGTTTTATGAATATTAAATGAATTATGTTTTATAAAAATTTGAAAAATTTGTTTTGAAATTTACGGTGTTACAAAATTAGTTAAATGTTATTTAATTTTATAAATTATGTTTCTTTATTTGGTTTAATATTAAAAAAAAAGTATAATGATAGTGGAGTGGTAACTATTTCCAAGGGTAGTAGTGTGGTACTACATATAGTAGAAATGATGCGATGCAGATCCGACAACACTTTTCTATTATGTAGTGACTATACTTTGTAGCCTAATAGCATAGTATCAAGTCATAGTGTGTATAATTTCAAGGAGGGAAATCCATACAATTATCTGATTTTATGCTGATTTCTTGTGCTGCACAGGGTAATAGACTTAATTATGTACCTGATTTGATGGAATTGTAGTTGTTAAGAACAAGATCGATAACATAGATAAATACATGGTTTGAGTAGAAAACAAAAACACGGGTTAACAAAAGAAAAAAGAATATATATTCTAAAAACTATTTTTTTATTAGAATAAAGATAAAAATTTCTATACAATTTGTTAAATTTTTTAGAGTAACTAACCGAATGAATATGTTACTCTCAATTTTTAGAATCTTATAGTTTGCCCATTTTTAGGCCTCAAATTTCGTTCTTTAGACCTTCAATTTTCTCAAATTATTCACTGCATTTCCGTTTTTTTTTAAATATTCATGTGATTAGATAACTTCTTAATTTTAGTAAATTTGTGTCAATTTTAATTTTCCAAAATTTTACAATGTACGTCAAATTATCTACACCTATATAAAAGGTTAAATATTTAGAAACATATTAGGAATGAATGAACATTTTTCTTTCGTGAACATTTAAGAATTTTAATTAAGCCACAACATAAACAAGCACATTCCAATGAGGATGATCACTATATATTTATAAGATTCATGTTTCACAGTAAACCACAATAACAAATTAATCTACTTGAAGTTTACATATTACTATATATACGACTTTGTCCAAAGAAATAAATTTTATTTTAGTCCTCGAAGAATATAAGCTAAGAGTAGCTCATTCCAAATATCTGGGACACCTGGAAGGCACCAATGTGTACAATCAGCATAACGTGAAGGATTGGATAGTTGTTTTGCTTTCAAATTAGAATAGAACAACCTATGAATAGATGGATGCCCATCTTTCCTATATTGTGTCAATTGTGTTATATTCACCATTTTCACATCAACCCCTCTTTCTTTTAAATTCTTTAATGTCAACTCTAATGTTCTCATCATTTTTAAATCTGAACCACTTTCCCAAAAGTGTTCTTTTGTTACTGGCTCCGTCTCATTTAAACAATTGTCATTGTCTTGCATGCCCCAATCTATGCCCCTGAACGTAAACGTACAAAAAAAAAAAAGCAAAAATTGTCATTTATTATAGATCATAAACTAAAAATCTAATAATTTTTAGAAACCAAAAAAACAAAGTTAAAGATATATTACTTGTGGTGTGTTGCAGTCATACTCATGAAGTAGGATTGAGTCCTTGCATGGTTTATATGAGTACGCACCCATTTTGACCATATTCTTAGAACCATTTTATAGGCACGATGGTTGGTGACTACGTTGTATTTTGTAGAATCTTCAAGTGAATCATACCTAACGATGACAAATATTATAGCTTATTAATTCAAACTATCATGACTAATGTGAATCTTGGAAGTATGAACTCACAAGATTTTTAGTGTAGGTGTCCCCCACCAAAGATATGAGTTAAAAACTAACACATCTGCATTAACCCAATTTTTTGCATGTTTCTCTATCGAGTGGATATGAACTACGCGATCAGTTCTTTTATGTTTTGTTGGGTGATCCGCATTAGATTCAACCAACAATGGAGCCCAATAGAAGTCAATCGAAACGTCATAATCCTGCATTAATATAAACATAGAAGTAATTATATTATTATAAACCTATGAATTCAAAGATAGTGAAAGCATAAACCCCATGTAATATGGTTACGTAGTCGTTTTCCCACTCATGATTCAAATATGTAAGCACTATTATGAGTTGCTTATCGATGCCCTTGACACTAAGTTGCAATTATAAGAGTATAAATGGGTGTTTTGAATTTTGTTAGGAAAAAATGTCTTTAAAATTGGTATAAATTAAAACATGTACTTCACACCAACAAAGAAAATATTTGTATAATACCTAAATCATGATAATCTTTTCCTTTTATGTTTTGAATAATAGTTTTTGGATTCAAAAGCAGTTCTATGGCAACACATATCATTTGTTATTGAAGTTATACAAACATTATGAATCCTGATATTTGAAAAAGGGTCTCCAAAACTATGTTCATTTACTCGTTGTAAAAAAAATTATCCGAATTTTTGAAAAAAGGACCGTGTCCAGAAACAATCAGACTCAGCAACTCACAATGCAACCTCATATATATAAATCTATCATGTAGACTTTATGAATTTCAAATATGTAATGAAATGTAACTAAAGCTGTCACGTTAATTATGATTGGTAGTACAAGTTTATGTAAAAGTTTTGTTATTGTCAAGAGTTATTATGGTTAGCGGAATAACGACACAAATGTGTAACCATAACCCGTTAACTAACATCCAAATTTCAATATTGTTTTTCTCATGATAATTTTGTTAATACCGATATAGTGTTTGTTACAAGATTTTATTGGCAAAACAAAATGCGAATATGACTTTTCACACTATATAATTTTTAAGAACTAAACCAACATTTTTTAATCTAAGAAACTTGAACCCTATAATAATGAAAAGAATTCTAATTACCAAATAAATGTTAACATTTCCTAATCTCAAAGACTTTGTAAACCAAGGAACCGAATAACTCCCATATGGGGAGAATTCGACTTACATTTCTGTAAACTCCACCATGAAACGAACTCCATCTTTAATAGAGAAACTCCAATCCCATAAAAAGTGAGGTACAAATCACATATCACAGCAACCAAGAATTAAACTTGAATACCAAACAAGCTTGAAAAGTGCTCAAACTTGGACAACATAATTGGCATCAAATCTAGTAATAATTCTAAGTGATAGTATGGCCCTCACAAATTTGAGTGCACATCTTCAAAAATGTCTTTGATGGTGTGAGCTGAAGGGTTCAATTTCATTTTTTTTTTTTTGTGTGTTTGCCAAGACGATGCTACATAATTAGAGGACATATCTTTTAATAAGTGGTTGAAAAAAGCAGGGATATGGATATATGGGAATTTCAAAATTATAGAAATGGAAGTAATACCTAAAGTTGTCAATTTTGCAAGTTTATCAGGAAAGCTGGGTATCACCTTAAAAGGTTTACAAGAATTGATTTGAACCCTATAACACTTTTAGATAAAATTAATTATATATGTAATTATGTTGAAAGAAAATCGACTAAACCATGTTGTAGGTTGTAGGTTTAATTAAAAACTCGATTTAGGCCTGTGAAGGTGTAGGAATAAAATCGAACTAAACCATGTTGTAGGTTGGTGGGGCCCGTTTGAATTGAATGGGCAGGCTCGATATGTTATGGGTGGGCTCATATGTTTATTTGATATTTTGGTGAACTCACTAATCTTCGTACTTATGGTTATGTTTATTGTATCAGGTTCTTTTAGTTTCAAACAGAAGGCTCGGTTTGTTCGCACTGCATCCTCTCAAGTTTTATTTCCACTATTCATTTTATTATTTCACTCTGATATTGAGAATACATGATACTTTGATTTTCTTTTGAACAAATGAATGAATTATTTTTGTTGTTTGAAATATGAAATTTTTACTTAATATTTTTAGAAAGTTACAACATGAGGAATTAGAACATCCAAGAACTCAAAATTTTGGGTGAAAATCCTTTTGGAAAACCATAAGGGACTAGACTTGTGTTATTAATAAATCTGATAAAATGAATAAAAGGAAAACGGTATATAGTTGTTACAGAGAGGAGATGATAATTTATGATGGTTAGAATGATTAAAGTAAGCCTATATTTATAAGCTGAGAAATTAGAATCATAAATAATACAAACAGTTTATATCTACCAATAATGTTTTAATTTCTAATCCTAAAAACTTGGAAACCAAGCAACTGAATAACCCCCAAAGAAAGAAGATTTGGGTTCACATTTCAACAACTTAGTGCACATTTTATTGTTTTCACCTCTATGAATGTTCTTACTAACTTTTATTTGTCAGACGCCTACAAAAATCTACTTTACATACGTCCTAAGTTGACATCATAATGTCTTATTTGCAAAACTTTAAAAATTGTTTTGAAAGTATTAAAGTTTCAATTTCATACAATGTCACATTTGTAGATTTTATTACAAATAAGAAACATTCTATTGTTAACTCGCACATATTATGGTTGTGTTTAAAGTGGTAGCCAAAAAACTAGATTGTAGCTTATAAATAAATTATCTCAACTAGCTTATCAAACAAAAGGTTACCTTTAGTTAATAAATTACGATATATCATAGTAAAGCTTTTCTACTAATCTTATTTATAGATACTAACAATTTTAATCTCACCATATCATTTTTTAATAAAAATCAATATAACTAACTAAGTAGTATTTAACAATATATTACTAATTATTTTGTAATACTTAGTTTTTAATATTATATATTTCCAAACTTACCAAATTATTAACTTCTTATTAATACTTTTATTACATTTTAAATTATGATTTACAAGTTTTGAATGTTTATATATCCATTTTACGTTATATTAAGCAAACCAGCCAATTTTTTAATTAACAGAATAATAAATAAAAACCTAGCCCTGAAAAAAAATGATTGCAAAGATATTATAGATTTACGTGAAAAAACTATGTTCTGAAAAACTTCATACAATATGTTAATTTTTTATGTTTATTTGACTGAAAAGGTATTGTTATAAATTCCTATTAAAAAAATTATTATTTTTGCACTATTACAACTGTTTATGTACGCAACAAGATAATTCATCTTACCAATTGGATAGATCATTACCAATAGGCATGCAAAAACCGCTTTTTTTTTATGAACCGGACCGGTTCAGAAAACCGGTTCGGTTCAAGTCCAAGTAGTCAAAATCGGTTCACACCAAAACCAGTTCGGTTCCAAACCGGTTCACATCCAAAAATATCCGAACATATGTAAATCGGTTCGGTTTATTAGAAACCGGTTCAACGAAAACCGGTTCAGAAAATCGGTAAAAAACCGGATCAAAAAACCGGTTCGACGCAAATAAGGTTTTCTAATTTTTTTTTTTTTTTTGTTTTTGGGCTAATAAGTGGAAAATAGGAATGGTTCAAAACCGGTTCGACGCAAAAAACCGGTTCAAAACCGGATCAAAATCGGATCAAAAAACCGGTTCGAAACCGGATCACACGGTCAAAATGGCGAATTGGTTCGGTCCGGAGGTTCGGTTCATGCCTGAACCGGTTCGGAGGTAAACCGGTTTCCGGTTCACTGACCGGTTCGGTTTGTGAACCGGTTTTTTCGGTCACCTCTAATTACCACCCTCTTAATTTTAATTTGATACAACTTCTAATTTTCTAAAACTATAAGCCCATCAAGCCCATTTCTAGTTTCCAAATTCCTAGTGTTCACTGTTCACTTTGCTTTCCATTTTTTAAAAAGTGCCAACTGCCATACATGACATTGACTTATGTCACGTGTTAATCAACTTACATATTATTCATCATTAAATGTATCATATACTCAACAATGAATAGCCGAATAGGGTCTATTTCTAAAGACTAAAGATGTAGATTGTTACATTCTCACTCTCTTGAAAGAATTATATCTTAGTATTAATATAGTTTCTATTGAACCCCACATATCGCAATATTCTTCGTTAACAATATTGGTATAGTATAATGGTTATAAGAAACCCCTTACATTTACGACTATTTTTTTATTGCGACGAAGAAAAAGTTGCTACATTATAGAAATCTAGAATTAGTTATTGTATATTATCATCACTCTATCTTTCATACTTATCATTTCATGTCACTATAATCTTAGCTTTCACACCTTACAAATCCATAAAACCTTTCACACCTAGCCTTACACATGCATAAGGGCTTTATAGCTCTTTATCATGATAGTAACACATATGGGCAAATCAGTATGATATAAATGAAACGATCATGATTTCAAATAAGTTTGGATGGTATCTCGGGTACTAGCTCAACCATAAAAATTTATAGCAACTTGGCATAGACAAAAACGTCTATACATGCATTAATCATTATACATAAGCATTAATGAAAATAACAGTACAGTTTCCAGATTTTAGACAACTTCTGACACTTCCTACTATACTATAAATATGTATTCAACCCTTCTATTTTTCTCGAATAATATACACCTTTAGGTTTTTACTAAATGGTAACACGTACTATTTATTTTTACAGTTTAAATGCATATCTATATTAAAATCCTGTGAAAATAATGTGTGGTAGATTCTATATACGCCAACAATATATCTTATCCCAATGCACTTGTTTTCATTGCTTCTTCCTAGGGGTAGTTGAATGTGTTATAAAAGCTCATTTTGGAATATATATATATATATATATATATATATATATATATATATATATATATATATATATATATATATATATATATATATATATATATATATATATATTCAATACAATTCGATTTTCATTTTTCTAGTTTTCACAATTACATCAATTAATAATTTTAGTTTTGTTACACCGGTTAAAAATCATTTCAACTACATTTTTGTTTTTTCTTAAACTAGTGGGAAGTAACATTATGGTTGTTGACAAGACTATAGTTATAGATGTTTAGTAGGTAAGTTTTTATGCTACTTTAACACAACCAACACTATCGAGAAGTTGTTCACTCACTTATCAACCAATAAATTAACTAGAAACCATAACTTATCACAAAAATAATAGTATTACGTGATTGAATACTTACAAATGCTTTGAAGGTGAGCAACGAGACATCCTGAACTTGTTTAACTTCCTGGATCTTGTGCATCTTCTTCCTCCCTGGAGGAATGACAGCTTGAAGCATACAAACAATCGACACCCATTGGTTCCTATTCACTGAATCTCCGACAAACATTATTCGTTTACCCCTTAGCTTCTCAAGAACTTGTTTGGCATCAAATCTACACATGTATACATATTCAACAATGAAATAAAAAAATTCATAACATAATTTGAAATCACAAGTAATGTCGGGACCTTGGAAGGTTGCAAGCATGGGGTTGCCATCTCCATTGTTGATACTTGGAATCCATTCTTCCATATTGTCCACAAGCAAACTCACCAGGAATATAAGGGCATTCTTGTTCTTTGTATAGAGGATAAGAATCGTTGTCGTGAACCCATTTGCCGGAGAACAAATCACACCCTTCTAAAGAATCGTAAACACTAGGACTGTGAGCTATGGTAGCCGGACTCGCCGGAGTGGTGTATTGTTCGTCGGTGTTGACATAATACACGGCGGTGGTAGTGAGTGCTCCTATTATGAAAAAGATAATGAGACTGCTTTCGAACATATGTTTCACATCCCATATTTTTACCAATCGCTTCTTCTTCTCCATCTTTATCTCTCTGAATGAGTATAGAAGAAAGAAATCACAGACTTAACTATGGGTTACCACCGGGTGCTTCTTTTTCATCACCACCACCTCCGGCGCCGATGGATTGGGAGATGTAAGCGTGTGGTTTACGGAGATGTACTACTACATGGTATTGCGGGCCTGCATTTTTATTTTAGAATAGATTCTCACGTTAGTTGTTTCGAGTTTTGATCTTGAAACTGGTGAGTGAAATTGGAATCTGAGCTATTTAATTATGACCTCTACTGGAAGTTTGTGTCAGTCTTTCTCTCTCTTCCTCTTTCCTCTGTCTGCATATTTCACATTTCTGTAGTTCTACTCTCTCAGCACGTGACGAGGAAAGCAATGGTCGTTATGAAAGTAAAATAATTGATGAAATGAAAGTAGGAATATATGTTTGGGCATTCACATCAAGTTTTGACCAATGCCTATAGGAGTTTTTCATCAAAAATAACAAATCGAAGTTGATGTTACTTATTAATAGTTATATATTTAACCCAAACAAAAGTTTACAAACTGTCCTTTTTGCTTGTTAATTTTTCAGTAAAACAGTTTTACGAAACATTTTTTTTTTATTTAAGGCAGTTGTATGAAACATTGCATACCAATAGTTCTTACGGTTAACTTTGTTAACATATTTTTTTAAATGCTTATGAAATAATAAAAATACCATTTTTTTCACACAAATAGTTCTTATGACTCCTTCCCTCCCTCCTTCTCTCATGGCCTTTTGAACCTATAATCAACCATAAAATTCTTGGCTATAAATCTGAAAGTGGTTCTCTTCTTCATATGATCGAGGTCATCAAAACATTCAAGAATAATCGATTCCAAAGCTCCCATGTGTTCCACTGCTCTTTATTAACTTCAACAAAAAAAAAAAAAAAAAAAAAACTAGGAGGATATCAAATATCCAAAAGCAACTAAAAAACCTAATAATTCAAAACAAATACCTGATGAAGATCAAGGTATCGATTTGTATGTGTGTGTGTGTGTCAACCACCAAGGAACTGGCTGTCAGAGGTAATTAATGATGAATCGACCTTGCTTGAGCATCGACTAAGGGAAAATCAAACCTACAAATCATTTTACAATGAGAGAAGGGAGAATTGAAAGTAGATAATAAGAAGAATCGGATGTTCTGTGTGTGGTTTTCACCTGGATATTTAACTATAATCTCCATGGTTGTATTTGGCTGGTGACATCATTGATGGTAAGAACCTCTACATCATTGTTCAATTTATGGAGGTTGAAACCGAGTCATAAGTGTATTCCATCGATTTCCCGGTTTCCATTTCTTCCTTCGATTTGAAGGGCCTTAAAAATCAAATTTGCAAGGTTTATGTCTCCCCACAATCTATTGTCGGAGAAATGGTGTATCTAGTACCAACAAAAGATAATCGATATTCAAATTCTTTGTTGATACTCTTGATTAAATCGATTTAGTGACTCATAGTTCTTGTATTGATTAATAAAATTGAAATTTTCAAATAAAGGGTGGATATAATTTGAGAAATGGATATACCAAGATGATACTATCTGTGATCAAAAACTGAATTGAAAGTCTGAATCAATTATATTGTTCCTATAGTAAAATTAAAAGTCAAAATTGACTTCGATATTTGATTTAGGTTTGTCGTGAAATAAAAAGGATTTCGATTCATTCAATCTTTAACAACTTCAGTTTTCTATGCATATCATGTAGTCCCAATAGCATAAAAAAGCAATTCACTAAGCCCCTTATAATTGTATTTTCGGGTCTTGTACAAAATTGAAGAACCGAGAACCATAAAGGAAAAAAAAATTGTAGATCCAAACGAATGGTTATGGAGAATTTCAAATGTTCAGAACAGTGTTTCGATTTTTTTGGATTCAGTGGAGAAATTGGATTTGTGTAATGTCCCGTTTTCACAACAAAATATTTCCTTTTTAATTATGGTAAAACTTCTCATAAATATAATCCAAGAAAACCATTTGCTCCAAAGTACATTGTTTAAAAGCAGAGTAATATAGTAAATGCGGAATCTCCATTGCTATTGATGAATGTGTACAGTCAAACATTCGCCTTCCCATAATCACCACTGGTACTTGAAAAATATTTAATCTACAACTGTAAGCCAAAGCTTTGTGAGTTCCCCCAAAATACCACACACCACAATACACATACAATGCATGCACATCGTGCCCACAATCCTTAAAACAAAATTGCCCATGAGCCTACAACATAAAGTTGGAATGCTCTCGGGTTTATTGGCCTACTGCCTCAACCCAACCGCTTACTCGGGCCTCCATTCCGTGACTGGTTCCCTTCCTTTGTATAAGGCTTAAAGCCGAACCGCACCTGGTATCTTGGTCTACAACACGAAGTAGGACCGCCTCAACCTAACCCATCATAATATGTCGACATATACAATCAAACAAGCAATCAATATAACACATAAGCATAGGCATCTATCTACATGAATCTACTTATTTAACAACTCACTACCACACATCACTACTGGTAAATTTCCAAGGAATGTATAGCTATATGTAACTAGAGGTGAGATAGACATTCGAATAAATGATCCTACTCTAGAGCTACAACCAAACAAGGAACAAGAAATAAAGGTTAGATCAAGAGCTCTCAGGATATCCTAGGTGGCTACATAAAGCCCTAGGGCACTCCACTAGACGATAAACAACCTAATGTCACTCTAACCAACATACAACTACTCCTATATCCTAAAATAGAAGGATATATACTATAAACACGTAGTATAGTGAGGAAACGCACCTGAATCGGAGACCCAAGAAACATCGTGACACACTCACTCTCTATATTGATTGCTCCTGTGAGCCGACTGACCAAAACACTGAAGGACCTTAATCAATAACCTAATTCCTTCAAGTTTGACCAAAAGTTAAAGTAGTCAAAAAGTCAACGGTTAATGGTCAATGGTCAAGGTCAACATTCAACATTACGAATAGTTGACCCTCACATCGTGACCAGTCCTTAATCACATCATGAGAACATATTTATCCTATTTCCAAAATTGGTCACACACCAACTTTACTAACTCGGTCACAAACTACTGAAATAGAAGACATCATGATGTGACCCCATTCTTGTGTTGGATTAATGTCTAAGTCCATAACTATAATTGGTAAGACTTGACCCGACCCAGCATGGTCCATTTGGGTTGCATGGCATCATGCACTTGGATAGACTATAATGAGAGAAATAAGACACTTATGGTTATTAATATATTATAAGTTCTAGTATATTAATAATAAGAATAATAAGTTTATTTAATTAGTATTGATCAAGAATTAATCTAGGATTAATTAAGTGATCAAAAGAAGACTAGTTAAATATATGGATTGATTGTACAAATCATCCACACTTATATAGTGGGCTAATGCTTCATGGATTATCTAGTTGGGCTAAAACCCATATGATGCTCCATGGTGTTTTTCTACCCATGGATCATGGAAATGAAAGGCCATGTCAATTAGGGTTTACATGGTGTAACCTAACTATATAAGCATCTTATTCTTGACCAAAATCGGCCACTAGAGAGAGTAAGAAAGGGCTAGCCGATTTTCATGAGTGTAGAATTCTCTCAAGTTATTCCAAGTGTATTTGGTGTTGTGTGAACCATTTGAGGTGTCACACTTGGGGCACTAGGCACTCAAGCTTCATGAAGACTTTCTACATCAATGAGGTATGTAATCTATCTTGCAATAATCATTGTTTTGTATTCTAGATTAGGATAATGCCTTGGATGTTCATATTTGCATGTATAATAGAGAAAACATAGATCCAAGGTATTTAGGGTTGCATGTACACTTAGGAGTGTTAGAATGCTCAAAACCCAACAGTGGTATCAGAGCCTAGGCTTGTTTTCTTGTTATACTTGCAAATGGAGCTGAAAAATCGAGTTTTGATGCTGTCTGCCCAGCAGACTCGCCGAGTCCAAGGCAAAAAGCATCCAACTCGCCGAGTTGGTTCGTGCACTCGACGAGTTGGACCCCCAGACAGCATAAATTCGACTTTTTTTTTGGCTGGAATTGGACTAGGAACATTACCCTAAGATGTTTTTGAACTTATAAACTTGTTTTTTGATGTGGTAATGTTCATGCTAATCCAATTTCAAAGATAATTGTCAATAGATTCATGTTTTGTATTAGTTTAAGGTTTAGACTAATTACATGAGAAAGTTTGATTTGAATTATCTTGTTCTTATGAGTTGCTTAGATTAATAGAAAACTTGAGTGAAATAGTTGTTTTCAATCCAAATTAATCTAAGAGTTGATTCTAAAAAGTGTTTTTGTAACTTATCCTCAAGTTATATGAAAAGTCACATTTAAGTTTCATAAAACTCATAAAAGTTGGCAAAGGTTACAAAATGAAGAGTCTAGTTCTAATTAATTGGTGTTATGACTTCATAATTTGTCCTCAAGTTATGGAGGACCAAGAGTCTCTTCATTAAATAATAATAAAAAAAAGTGTAACCTTAATTAATTCCATAAGTTATAAAATAAAGAAAAGTTAATTCTTTTATTAGTTTAAAGTCTTCCATAACTTGTCCTCAAGTTATGGAACTTGAAGAGTTTTTGGATTAAAACTACTTTAAACACATAAGTTATGGAATTAATTAGTTTTGAATAGTTTCAAAACTTACCCTCAAGTTTTGGAATTTGTAAAGTTTTCTCTTATGAATAATTTAATTCCAAGTTAGCCCTTAGAATTTTAAAAGTTAAAATTGAACCCTTATACTTTATAATATTATAAGTTAATAATATATATATATATATATATATATATATATATATATATGTATGTATAAGAGTAAAGTCAGTCTTACCACTAGTACGCCTCATTCACAAAGCCGGTCTATAAGGTGGGTATAAGGTTGTTGCCTATAAAATGGCAACTTAATGGGTGTCCACTCTCACCCACCGCTTTCTTGACTGGTAGAGGGTCGTTAGCTGAACGAGTTTGACAGGACTAGAATTCTACCTTCATTAAAAGTATTAATGATAAATACTAAGTAACTAAACTCTTATAAATACCCAATCTTAGTTACTTAGGAAAATGTGAATAAGGTGCTAATCCATGAAATTACACTTTGCACTTTGTTTAATTCGGTTAGTGGAGCGTGTGTGGTTAACCGGCACACTAACTCGTATTTAACAAGGTAGGCAAAGAGTAACTTAATTTTTATCATGGTATCGATGGAGCGTGTGTGGTTAACCGGCACATCGATTGAGGGGTAAACACTTAAGGGTACCAAGTAATTTGCATGGTTACTTCACACCTTGTTTTGTGATCCTCGACATCCCAGTCACAAAACCTGAAGGGCACACTCGAGATTGAAACATGCCATTGAACAGTTCAATGAATCTCAAAAGATCTAGGAGTTTCAAAACCAATTAAAACCTAATAATACATTTCGTTTATCTTGGTGGAAATTGGTGAATCGTCATTCACCTACCTTCAAATATTTTATAGCCTGGATTACGGCATCCCTCTTCTAAGTTATAAAATAGTTTGTTGGGTCCTAGCCTTAATATTTCATATTGGGTGTCATATTCAGGACTTAAGATCAACTATCTTGAATATCTCCCAAAACATGTCTGGTTTAGACATTTATGATCTTCCCAAATCTCTTGAAACAAGCTTTCCTAAATGAAGATGATGTCCCATGGAAATCATACTTCTTTCACCTCCTCTAATTATTCTCCCTAACCCACAAGTTCTTGAAAAGTTTAAGGTCACTCGAGCCCTATTGGCAAGTAAAGGTCTAGGTGTGGTCACATCTTGGAGATGTAGTCACATATTGACAAGCCGGGGGAGT